TTTAGCATAAAATCATTTCACTATGCTGTAACCTATTTCCCTATGTAATAGAATAGGATTGAAACATCACCAGCACCAAACTTAAGTAAGAAATGTGAAAACTTCTTTCAGGAGATCGAACAAGAATTACAAGTTACTTAACTTCTCCATTGTGTTGTATATACATTTTCTCTCTCTCTCTTCTCAATTCAGATGTTAAGTAACTTGTAATTCTTGTTCGATCTCCTGAAAGAAGCTAATATATATATATATATATATATAGAGAGAGAGAGAGAGAGAGAGAGAGAGAGAGAGAGTGAGAGGGTGAGAGTGAAATAAAGCTTTATTTTATATATTTATGAATTTATTTTATATTATTATTTTTTTAGCTCTCTTGGGCTGAACTGTACGTTGTGGGCCACAGTGGAACTATACCTAGTGCGATTGGATTTGATTTAAATGAGAAATATCCCTTTTGGAAAGAACTGACTGAAAAGGTTCACTCTCTTCCTGGAATCAAAGAATGGCTCAAAAAATAGAATAGTGACTATTTTAAAATAAAATAGATCTAATTAAAAAATACAATAAAATTGTAAAATAAAAATGTAAATAAACAGTTATTGTTTTTTTAATTTTATATCATTGTAAGGATCAAAGATATTGAAAAAAATATGTTTATGTAATTATACATAACTATAAACCTATAATAAATACTTATTTGATAATAACATAATTTCATAAGCTTAATGATTGTGACAGTATATTATAAAAATTTTACATCAGTAAGTGATAAAAAATCAATTCATTAAAGAAATTTGTACCACATATTTCATTTTTATGAAACATTATCTACCAAGATAAGAGTGTCTTGTTAAGTTAACCAAATTGAATTTTTCTTATTAAATTAATGAAATATTGTAAAAAAAAATTTTTTATGTACTTATCTAAATAATGTCTAATTAATCATTAAATTTATCTTTTACAATTATTTACGCCTTTTGTCCTAATTATCAGATTTAAAATTATAAAAAAAAAAGTTTTAGTTTATTTCAGGATATCAAAAATTTGTACAATAGTTAAATTACAAAACAGTACTTAAAGCTGAAAAAGTGAAATTTATGAAATAATGAACATTTTTATATGTCAATAAAAAATGAAATTTGCTCAACTCAAGTATAACATAAAGTGAAACCTCTTATTTATATATTGTTTAATTTTATGAATGAACTTTAAAGTTGTTTTTAATAATTACGGAGTAAATAATTCCTAAAATAGATGACCTTTCTAATCCTGTAGACAAACTCAAAACTTACTTATATTATTTCTGTAATATGTAATTACTCTCAATTATTTATGTCTTTCTTATCTAAGCTGCAGTATCATTGATAATAAAGTCATTATTAAGGAAAGAATTAACAATGACAAAATATGCAATTATAATGTATGTAAGGATATATACATCAACTCATAAAGTTTTTTTTTTCTGTTGGCATTACAGACCATTTAGATCTTTTGCCTTCTGAACAAGCCTGCTCCATCTCTGCCTGTCTTGGGATATTTCTTATATATTTGCATAAAAAGTAATGAGAACTTATTCCTAATCAAAGGAAATAAGTTCTTCAGTACTTATTTAAAGTTTGTTTTGTTAATATTAAGTGAGTAAATATTTTGAATACAAGTATATTTTATGAAAATGATTTATTTAAAAAATATTCTTTGATTGTTACTTGTCTCATTGAAATAAAATGTCCACTATTTGTTTGATATTATAAAATATGTATTAATTACTGTTTTGGGAAACAAAATTGAATATTAGGAATTTTTCCTAAATAATTTAAATTATGGTACTTGAGAAATGTGAATTTATCTATTATTAACTATTTATATTAAAAATTAAGAAAAATTAGGAAACAAGGACATTGTAATATTGGAGTTTGTTTCATAACATCATTATATTGATAACATTATTATTAAAAACTTTATTCTATTTCAGATATTTAAAGAGGCTTTTGATTGGTATACTTAACATATGGACTTTTTTTTCTTAGTAAAATTATTTTTCTATTAATTTAAATCAGAACTGAGAAAGCAGGTATTGTATGATATAAGATTATTAAAAAAAAAACAATGATTAGATTCATTCAATAAGTTGAGGAAGAGGGGGGAGGGAGAAGTTTGCATAATCATATCTCTATGAACATTATTTGGCATTCTAGCCTGAACAGTCTAGATTGCCATAGTTGAAGTTTGCAGGTTATAGAGCTTAATACAGTATTGATAAAAAGAGTAAGTAGCCATCAGAAAATTACTAAAACATTATTATCTAACAATTTTATAAATTATTATTATTTTTAATAATTCATTAATAGAGACTGAATTTAAATATAATTCTATTTTTAGCTTACTTTCTTTTTACTTTTACTTACTAATACCTGACATTTATTGTTAAGATAAATGTTTAGCTAGACTTTGAATCAATAGTATTGATAATTTTAAATAAATTTTAGTAGAAAGGTGAGATTGAATAAAGTTAGTTATACTAATGTTTTGAAATTATTTTTGGTTGATTGTATAAATTCAAATTTCATTTGGAGTTGATTTATATATATATATTATATATTAAATATAATAATATATATAATATAATATATATATATATATATATATATATATATTATATGTGTGTGTGTGTGTGTGTGTATATATATATATTATATGTTTATTATTTTAAGTAAATATAATGGACCAGGATAGTTTTCTTCTGAAATTAAAACTGAGAAAGTTTTAATGGAATATACAATCAAGTGTGTTGTGGGACAACTGCTGTGGAGAGCAATTTCTTTTAGATAGAGTTATTAAAACATAAATTTAAATGAAAACTCGATTTTTTACATTAAAATAAAATTTAAACTGAAGAGCTCAATACAGAAGTAAATATTTAAAACAAACTATATGGTATACTAGACAATGAGATTTTGGTATACGGGCACCCCTAGCAGTAGAATTATGGATCCAATGGTGTAAAGATGAAATATTCGATTGAGAGGGCAATTGAAGTCAGGTCATCAGTTGGATTACAGGATCAGATTGCTCGCGTTAGTCCAAGATCGGAACTTGTGGAAGTCAGTGAGAGAAATATTTTGATGAAACAAAAAGGTTCTTTATTTTCTCTCATGAACCAAAGTGATCCTGAAGAAGGAAGTTTTGAATCAAAGAAAAGATCAAAAATGGTAATTACTAACTTTAAATGTTTCATATATTTCTTTAGATTAGTTATAACTTTGAAAATATTTTAAAATTATGTATGAAAACTAAATTAATTATTGTTCATGGATCTTCCACAAAAAATATATATCAATCTACCCTCTTTTGGTTTATAATTTTCAGTACAGAACCATTATAAAAAATTAAAAAAGGAAAATTAACTTCCCTCAAAATTTGAGGTTTTACATTCAATGATATACAGAATCAGAAAATCAAATTAAAATTTTTTTTTCCATCCACTTGCTACGGCTTTTCTCTGAGACTTTAGTATAGTTTACTAGAATTTAGTATCAAAGTCAGAGGTTGCCCGAGGAAGATCCTCTCAACTCGATATAACCATCCTCCTTTTCTTTTCGAAATGGAGGTTGAAAACATGTGTTTGTATAGACTGTAGTGTCAACACGGCTGTAATGAAATTTGCCTAGTCTTATCTATAAACCTATATAAATTTGTGTATATAACCAATCTGAAATAAAAAAAGATTGAAATTGCACTGGAAATTTTTTACATATGTGTATTCTGATTCAAAGTCAATTTCTCTTATTTTATAACTTGAAAACTTTAAATTTACGGTAGCGGTCAAAATTTTTATTTTAAGAATAATTTAAGTTTTTAAAGAAAAAATGTTTAAAAACCTTAAGAAGGCAATTTTCGTTTTTAATTTTTCCAAAAAGTGTAAGAATAATAGCATGACATAACATAAATATTTTATATATAACTATTTAGAAATAAACCGTAGCAGTTTTTCTTTTTATTTTGTATGTAAGAATACAATTTGCTCATTAAAGATAAATCCATTTTCTTTGTTAAGTTTCTTTTTATAAATTGATGTTTCTTTAAATAAATAATGTTTTAGGTGTAAATTTTATTTGTACATCTAAGAACATAAACAAAATATTTTATTTTTACTATTTAATTTTATAACTTTCAAATAATAAAAATCTATACAATATATTAAGGGGAAGTATTGCTATCATGAACAATTTCAAAGCTGAATTTTCAATGGGAATACATGTTTTGAAGTTCCTCAATTTCAAATTTTAATATTAGATAGGTCTTATGCTCATTAAAATAATCTGACAGGCTTAAATGCTGAATTTAAAATTAACTTCCTCTAAAGTACCTTTAATTTGTTTCATATTACAATATATACTATACTATAATATTTTAATGTAGTAATGTGTACCTGTCTTACTGTATAGTATATATTCTAATATGTACCTTAAATTGGATTTATTTTAAATAACAGATTCTCATTCAGTAATAAAATAAATGTCTAAATGTAAACTATGAAAGAACATGATTATTAAATTAAGAAAAACATCTTTCTTTGTTGAAAACAAATTTATATAAATAAGAGTAGCAATGTATATATGTAATGTAACATTAGAAAGCTGAAGATTTAATATATATATATATATATATAATGTTGTAGAAGATAATAGAGAGTAATGAAAAACTTATGGCTTATTAATAACTTAACATTATGACTTATGAGTAATGAAAAACTTATTAAAAATTTATAAAAGTATAAATTATTAGTCAATAATTTATACTTTTATATAATTTAACAGAAACTAAATGGAATTTTCATAGCAAGTTCCAAAAATGAAAACTTTTAAAATTAATTTGATAAATCAAAAATGTATAGTGCTCTGAATTATTTTATATTTCCTTGTGATGAAATTATTTTAAAACTATTTGATTTAAATTTAGTAAAAGAAGTTTTGAAGAGTTGTGAACTCAATGCAGAAGAGATGCTGCTGAAAATACTTCAAACAGGGTTTATGGGTGGAAAAAACATAAGGTAATGATCTTTAACAACTACTTTAGTTAAATAACTTTAGTTATTATTTATATTAAATGATAAATAATAGATTAAATAATTAAATTTGAATGTAAGCCATAGGTGAGCAGACGTTTAATTAAGTATATTGATACAAAAAAGTTGAGTGATGAGCCCAATACACAACATTTTTCTTGGTTGCAATGAAAGTTTGTGTTTATTGCCTATAAATCTTGATAACATTCACTTGTATTTACCAGAGAGCTTGTTGGAAATGTTGGTGACATGAAAAATAATGTGCTCTTGAATTTCATTAAAAGTTGACATCATTTTTAGACAACCGACTTTTGTCCATTTTAAAAAATTATATATATTATTATAACTTACCTTGACTGAACTAAAATAAATAACTGCATTCTTTATATGAATAGTAAACCATTGCTCTTTCCTTAAATTACATATTTTTTTTGTATCTAAGCCTATTCTTTTTTTAAAAAAATTCAGATATTCATTTTCGATTTATTCTGTAAATTATTAAAATAGATATGTATATAGTTTAGAAGAAGACTGGCACAATTCAAATTGAAGGATTTTCCAAATGTTTGCATAATCATAATCATAAAGGTGATTATTTCATGATTAGGAGTACCATAAAAAATATATATAAGTTGGACCATTGTCACCGGTTCTTTCTGTTTAGAACTAATGATATATACCTCAATAGTTTGGACAAACTGTAACATTTCCCATTGGTCTATACACCAGTACTTGGTACATGTATTTTTTTTTTAATTATCAACTCAAAAAGTGTCAAGTCATAGAAGTAATTTTTTCATGTTAGGGCAAATAAAATAATCTATAAAACCTTGTACTGTATTGATAACATAAGTGCCAACTTATGAAAATTATTGGGGTGGCCAAACTATAGGAACATTGGGTGGGGATAGCATTTGGAATATATCCTATATGCCCATATACAATGTATAATATATGCCTATACGAAAAATTAATATCTCAGGCAAGTATTGAGTGGTTTCAAGCCCTTCCTGATAAAAAAAAGTGTTAAGTCACGCACAATATCTTAAACTAAAACAATATAATATTTTAATAGATTATTCCTTTTAAAGCATAGTTGAGTTTATGAATCTAAAATAGGACACCCTTAAACAAATTCTACTATACCTACTAGTAGATTGATAAAGTCCTTTGTAAAGCAATTGTAATGTACACAATTAATATGTTCATGAACTTCATACTACAGCAATTTGTGGGAGAGGGGGAAGAAGGGGAGGCTCAAGCCCCATAAGCCCCTATGATTGATAACAAGTAGGCACAGAACAAATCAAGATCCTCATAAACCGCTCAAAAACTTTGTCTGAAAAAAAAGCCAGTTATCAAAAATAAATATAAATGAAGCCTGGATTGCATTTTTTACCAAAAAATAGTATTGCAAAACATTATTTTAATTTTTTTGCACTTCCTTGATAGCAATTCCTCCTTGATTTCTTCCTTTTACAAATCCTGAGAACCATAAAACTTCCCTACATGTTAGGGAAAAAACTTACCCTAGGTTTCTCTATTCCCACTTGTAATTAATTTATATATCTCCTCCCTTAAAACTGCTTCCTTCAGCAAATTTTTCCTTATTTGTTCTCCCTTCTTTTAGAATTCTTCACTCATCTCTATATGTTTCCGCCACCTGCTTCATTCAAACTACCACATCAATGTAAGCACTATTTATTTCTGTAATTCAAATTATTAATAACTGATTATAGACTAATATCATTTTGTAGTTAACTTGCCCAAGTAATGTGCAGAAAGTCTAATCATTGTAATTATTCTTAGGATTACTTCAGTAACATAATAATTTTTTTTTTTTTTTCATTTCACTACTCAAAATAGAACATAGTAAAACTGTTACAAATTGAAAAATTTAGGTCTTAATATTATTTTTAGAATAAAAAATACTTAAGACAAGTTACTTCCAACCGTTCACTTGCAAATGAATTCAAAAAATTATTAATCAACGGTAAGAAAATCTAATAATCAATCGAAATCATGCAAAATCTTCACGTGACTTTTTCTTTAAAGTATAACTTTTTGAGTTATGCCGGTCTTCTTCCCAACTTGCGATACTTCAAAGTTTATTTCGTAGAAACAATTTTTTTTTTCTTTACTCAAACAACTCAATAAAAATTATATATTATAATTATGAAAGAAAATGTTAGGATTATTTTTTTAAATTATATATTTTGTTGTAATAAATATAAAGCATTTTTTCATTCGAGTTTCAAATTTTAGAAGGTCTGCTGCTATATTTGAATGAGGGTATTGTGGTGATAGTTGAATAAGTTTTAATTTTTGTTTAGTATCTGAATGTTTTATAAATGCACATTAATGTTATATCATTAAAGTATATTTAAAGAACATTTACTTTTTTAAAAAAAAAAAAAAGCATAACTGACTTATTCTACTCTTATTAGAGCCCTATCCTATAATAAATAAAATAATCTTCACATTTATGTTCATACAAATAATAATAATCTATCTTTCCTCCTATTTTATATAAATATGTTTTAAATATAAAATAATAAAATAAAATATTTTAGTTTAAAAAAAGTAGTATATTACTTGATTACATGTTTAAATACCTTACTTTAGAATTTTTTACTGAGTAAAAATTCAGTTTTCACCCATAAATAATAAACATTTCTACTACTTTTAAGTTTTTATTATTTTAGATATTAATTTTTTGTAATATTTCAGGAAAATGTCACAATATAAATTAACATATTTTAATGTAAAGGGGTTAGGAGAACCTATAAGATTTATATTTGCTTATATGGGAAAAGAATTTCAAGACAACCGCATTTCTCATGAAGAATGGCCACAATTCAAAGAGAGTAAGTAAACAAATATTTTATCAAAATGTTTCAAAATGAATAGATTTCATCAGATATAATAGTAAATAATAAACAATGGGACATTTTAAATTTATTTATGAATGATCCTTAAATGAATTTATATATTGTACTAGTAATAATTATATGTATATTAATTTAATTTAACTATAACTACTATTATTAATTATTATTATTATTACTATTATTAATTTAATAAAACTAAATTAATAACAAATAAATATCATTTTATGTTTATTTATTATTGATCTTTTTATGAATTAATATGCCAGAATGTGTTTTATTCATTGTTTATAGAACACAAAATATTACAAAGAAAAATGTGATAACATTTTAATAATAAATACAAGATATGCCGATATTCTGTTAAAATATTTTTTATGATCCGAATTTTCTGAAAATTCAAAATTTACTTTTTTTAAAATAACAAATTTATTTTTCATTATTCCAAACAATAAACTATGTTAATTTATTCATTAATCAAGAAATGATTGTCAACGCATGGATGTAACATTTTTTTATAACATTAATATTAGATTTTTAATAATTAATGAGTAAATTAAATGACCATTGTTGTTCTCTAAAAACACTCACACCTTATTTATCTCAAGTAACCCAAATTTAAAAACTCCTTATCTTCTTCGACTGTCCTATAAAATCACCTAAAGAAAGGAGTAATAAAAAGTTTATAATTTTTTCTTCATCAGATCCTATTCTTTTACAGAAATATTTTTTGATTACAGAAACACCGTTTGGCAAAATGCCATTTTTAGAAATTGATGGTAAAGTCTATTATCAATCAGTTCCTATTTTAAGATACTTAGCACCTCAGGCAGGTTTGGCTGGAAAAAATGCTGAGGAAGATTTGGAAATTGATATGATTGCTGGAGCCTATGGAGACCTAATTTCTGGTGATCAATAATGTTTCTTATGCCTTAATTTTAATTATAATTTTTATTACTGTTCATCAAATTTAATCTAATGCTCCATATCTTAATATTTTACAGAAATACCTAATATAAAAAATAGATTATTTCTGTAATCTCAACAGGTAAAGAAAGATTTTTTTTATTATTAAAACATTTGTTCCCTTTTAGAGGTTACAAGATATAGGCGAATGGAAAATCTGATTGAGAAAGAAAAACTAAGGGAAACCTTTATTAATGAGACAGTTCCATTTTACATGTCAAAGTTTGAAACTATTTTGAAAAAAAATGGAGGATATTTGGCAAATGGAAAGGTTAATATTTTTATTTAATAATTGTTGATAAATAATAACAAATAGGTTTGGAATCTTACCTCAAGCTTTAAAGATTGGTTATATTAAGTATTATTTTACTTTTAGCCAAAACTAATAATACTCAGCCCTCCCTCAGTGTACATATGCTCTACGTAATAGAATAAAATTAAGGTTCATCACAGTCATGTTTAACTAATGAATGTGAAAAGAAGTTTACCAATCAAGAACTTTTATGTTTTAAGAACTATTAAGTTTTATTTCTAAATTCACTATTGTGTATATTTTTTTCTTTTATCTTTAGGCCTTTTAACTTTTCTAGGTTCTAGGTCTGTCTTGACAAGATTTTTTTTTTCCTCTTTATTTTTTAATTCACAACTGTCAATGTCCACTGACAACCAGTGAATGAGAAAACTGTACAAATCGGCTTGGAGGAATATATATACACATGATAGGCATGTGGAAGAGAAAAACCCAGTGGTTTATCTTCGGTCATGTTAGTGGTTAATTAAGGACATCTCTCATCCAACTCCTTTTCAGCCTTCTGCGGATGTTATCGGGCATGTCTTTATTGACCATATTTTGGATGAGTCTATTGGAGTGACCTTAGAGCTTGTGAAATCTTTTGTAATAAGATTGTATGTGTTCTGTGAAAGTTTGCATGCGTAAGTCTTTGTGTGGAGAGTTATGTTACTAACATTTGACAAGATTTTAATTTACAAAAATAGTTCTAAAAAATTATTAAAAGCAACTAATTCTAAAAATGCCATTTTTCAAATTCTTTACTTAAACTTTTTGGTGGTGCATTATGTTGGCCACTCAAAAAAAAAAAAAAATACATACAAAAAAACATAGTTGATAAATAATCAGGAAGCAGTCATTTTAAGATTTTTATTGTTGCTGACGTTTCAATCCTTGTATGTTGTCATCATTAGGGCACGTCTCCAGTATTGAAGGTTTTCAAGTACTTGACTGAAGGTATCCAGTACTTGAACACCTTCAGTACTGAAAACATGCCCTGATGATGAACCACATGCTTGGGTTCAAACGTCGGCAACAATGAAAATGACTGATTATTTATCAACTATGGTATATAAAACATACGACAAACTTCCTTCAATAAAAAAAAAACCATACATGTTGATAAATATATGTAATGATTATGAATTTATTTTTTAGCTCTCATGGGTTGATATATGTTGTGAGCAACGGTTTATATATGTTTATGAACCACAGTTCATATATGTATATGAACCATAGTAAATATATGTAATGATTTTAAATTTATAATGATGTAGAGATGGTTGACCGTTGATATAATATGAGAAGGAGTTAGTCGGGGATGCGGTCAGATAAATACTGAATTAAAATATAGTAATTATTTTATTTTAATTTTGCCGACGTTTCGACCCACTTTGCAGGTCGTCTTCAGGGCTACAAAAGATACAAAACATGTTGAAAATAAAAATTAAATATAAGTAGATATAAAATAAGAAGAAGTTGTCAGATACAGAAATAAAAGATGATATCAGAGATATAGTGGGTGATATCATCTGATATCTTTTATTTCTGTATCTGACAACTTCTTATTTTATATCTACTTATATTTAATTTTTATTTTCAACATGTTTTGTATCTTTTGTAGCCCTGAAGACGATCTGCAAAGTGGGTCGAAACGTCGGCAAAATGAAAATAAAATAATTACTATATTTTAATTTAGTATTTATCTGACCGCACCCCCGACTAACTCCTTCTCAGATTTTAAATTTATTTTTCAGCTCTAATGGGCTGATCTGTGTGTTGTGGGTCTGTATGTATATGAACCACTGTAAATATATGTAATGATTTTGAGTTTACTTTTCAGCTCTCATGGGCTGATTTGTATGTTGTGGGCCACAGTTCATCTTTACCTGGATTGATTGGGTATGATTTAAATGAGAACTATCCCTTCTGGAAGGAATTGACTGAAAGGGTTTACTCTGTTCCTGGAATCAAAGAATGGATCAAAAAAAGACCAGAGGCTGTTTTTTGAATAAAATAGAAACAATAAAAAAAATTAAGAAGTTTATAATGTAATTGTAATATAAAAATGTAAATAAACTATTATTTCATAGCATATTTTTTTTTAACTATTTAATATTGTAAAAATAGAAAGATAGAAACCTATAAAAGATTATTTTTATACCATAATACATAATTATAGAACCATAGTTAATAATTAACTGATAATATTACAATTTGTAAAATGATAACTCGATTTACGATCAGAGTACTAACAGAAAGGAGAAGGACCAATAAAAATCTGCATTCAGAAACTGATTAATCAATTTCTCATGATATGATGGTAATGGGAAAGCAATCCATCAGCAACAATTGATATTTAAACATTTTAAAAGAGATCATGTGGGAGGTCAAAAACAAGTTCAACAGATCAAATCAATAAAGATGCTACATGCAGAAAACTGGAAAAAAAATATTCCAAGATATGCAGAGAAGTTGAAGGATGGTTAAGGCAGCCTAAGATCTACATATTCTATAAAACAAAATGAAAGGAAGTAATTGGTTAAAATATAATTGGTTTGTTTTTCTCGTCATATACTACTGGCTTAATAGAGGATACCAACATTATTTTGTAATCCAGTAGTATATTGTAATGTATACCTTTATTGGAAGTGGGTAAAAAGGATTTAATAAATTAATGTTCAACAGTTAAAAGGTAACCTAATCTAGTTCTACTAGTTCAGGGAAAAGAAAATAACTGCTCTGTAGTTTTCCCAGAAAGGAAAATCCCAAAAGAGGAGAGGGACAATACAAAGGATTTTCTTTTGGCAAGCAGTTGTTGTTTGGCTGCAGTGAAGAGAGGACCTATCCTATATCTCCTAAGAAGGGATCCTGGCTCCAGTGGGTAAAACCCAGTAACAGTACCACCATTTTGGAAGTTGTGTTTGGCAAGACATTGGAAAGTATTTGAAGACAAATGAATCTAGTGCAACAAAGGAAGAAACAGCATCTATAGAAAAAAGGTTAGCTTGTCAATCCACATTTGACTTTATTTTAAAATCAAACAGTGTTCAATATAGTTAATTTTCGTTTGTCTGAGTGTTTGGTCTGATTGTCAGTAATCCATACCTGAGATAAAATAATTATAAATTTCAATTTAATATATTGATACTCTTATGATTTTGTTTATTATTTAATGATCTCTTATTTCTTATGGAAGTATCCCAGTAGTATACAGTGGTCATCCGAAGTTATATTATTATTTATAAAATTTAAGAGAGATGTTACAATATTTTAATTTATATAAATACATATACATTTGTGCTTCATAAATATATTATATAATATATTCTTGTTTGGTAGAGATTGATATATCATATGAGTGTGTTGTTATGGCTTTGCTAATGGTCAAAATCTATTAATTATAAAAACTTTTATAACATATTTCGTTTTCCAACATGTACAAAGATAAGACAAACATCTGTAAAATTTGTTTAGCCAAAATTATTTTTTTCTTATATCATTAATGAAATATTGTAATTAGAAAAAAATTCTTTACATACTTATCAAAATAATAATTAGAGGACGAGGGTTGTGATTTTCTATTGGCCTGTATAGGAATAAAGATCTTGAGAGATATTTAGCAGATTTGATTGTGTGGAGTATCTGAAACCTAATTGGAAAGGATTAATTTCACTCAAGGATGGAAGTTGAGAAAAATCAACTTTTCCAAAACAAATAAAAAAATAAATGAAAAAGAGGATACATTTAACCACTGACCAGGCTTGATTTGTTAAGTAATTGCAGGGAGAACTTCATTATGTTTATAGACTTATTACACTTCGAAGAACTGGTCATCAACTATTATCAAAACAAGAGGATGGGCATTTGTCGGGAGGAATCGCTGGAAAAAAATCCTAATAAATGGATGGATAACCTTTTTATTTATTTTTTATTCATATTTGTTGATTTATACTACGTTTTTTTATTTCTATTTCTATGTGTATGTGTAATTTTTGAGAATGACATTGTGTGGTATTCATGCTTTTTAGTTTGAACACAAACACACTTTGGTGAGCAAAGTACCAAATATTTAATAAACAGAGTTCCTACAAAAAAAAAAAAAAATGCAAGAAGGGTGAATCATTACTGTAAATTAAACAATGTGGAAAAAAATATTACTTTAAAACTGAATGAACAGGACACGACAGATGAGAAATATATATATATATATAACTATAAAAGTATATATATGTGTGTATATAAATAAATTTATTTATCGATTTATTATGCTGCAATGACAAAGAGCCAAACAATCAAGTGAACAGTGAAAAAACCTAATGAATAGGATTTTATTTTAGAGAACTATTCTGAGTTATTCAACAAAATGGGACTATTGTGCATTGTTAGACAACACAATTTAACTCGTTCAGTTTGATAAGGAGGGGGGTTTATATAACAGTAATCAACAATCATTCAGCACTCTTGCTTCAATATTCATAAAGTATACCATTGAAATCTCCAGACATAGAGTACTCACACAGCATTAACATTACAAATCGTAAGTTAACATCAATAAGCTACTAAATTTTTGTTATCTGTTAATGTTTTGAATTATAAAATAAACAAAATTTCAACATTATTTTTTAATTTATTTTAATTAATAAATTCTTAAGAAAAAACATTTTTTTTTTTTTTTAAACAAGAGCTGAAAAACAAAACCTTCATAAAAATTAAATATTCTGTTACTTTATAAAATTTGGTTGGTCATTAGTTATACACAAAGATGTTGATAACCAACAGGTTTAACACCTTCATTTCATAACAACCATCTTTTATAAAGAGAAAGAATATTAAATTATTTGAAATCAAAGATGTAAAAATGTGTTTTTATAATTTCTTTTAATGCATAACTTTTTATTTATTTATCCATTTTTATTCCAAATGATTGGAAATATTTTACATCAACATAAATTTTGTCCCACTGGTTTAATAAAAAAAAAAAATAATAAAAATTTTTGGATCTGATCTTTTATATCACCATCTTTCTTTTTTTGTTTACTTCTAAGTTTTTACTCGAGTTATTTAAGAGAGTAAGAGTATTACTTTATTTACAAACAGTGCTACCCTACTATATAGGGCTGCTTAATACAAAGCATACAAATCGATAAGACTTCATTGCACTTTAAACAAAAAGATAAAAAGTTTTTTATTTTTAATGTATTATTAATTATTGTAGTTTTAAATTGCCAGATTTTTAATCTTGTTTCATAAAAAAAAATATATATAACCATACTTTAAAACTTTTAATATATAATTTTAGTTTTTTAGGTTGCATATTTTTAGGTTTTCCACTGAATAAAAACCTATCTTTTTCTTATGAATGATAAACTTTTCTGTTATTACATATATTTTTAAAAATCAATTCATGTCATATTACAGGAAGATGCCACAATACAAATTCACCTACTTAAACTTGAAGGGGTATGGAGAACCTGTAAGGTTCATGCTATCTTATATGGGAAAAGATTTTGAAGATAATCGAGTTTCGTGGGAAGAATGGGCAGAACTTAAGCACAGTAAGTTTTTATTTAATTGCTTTAATTACAAATAGTAACAGACAGAATGAAAACGAATCAACTGTTTTGTTTTCAGAAAAATAAAACCTGAAGTAGTAAGGATGTTTGTTACAAATTTTTATCAATTCCTTCTCGACTCTTTCTTCTATAGCAGATGAAACAACACTTTTTTTATTTTTAGAAACTCCGTTCGGGAAAATGCCAATTCTAGAATTTGATGGTAGAGTCCTCCATCAGTCAAGAGCCATTTTAAAATATTTGGCTTCTCAGGTAGGTTTAGCTGGAAATAATGCAGAGGAAGATTTGGAAATTGACATGGTAGTAGGAGCATTTGGAGACCTAGCTGCAGGTTAATATTAAATTTTATAACATATTAATCATTTATTGCATCCTTATTTGCAGGAAGGCAAGTTAGGGAGAAAAATATTAATTTTTTTTTTTATTGTTTAAATAAACAATTAAAAAGGAAGCAAAGATAAAATGTTTTTAAATACTCTCCTGCTAAATTCAAGTAAAAAGTTTTAAAAAAAAAATCAAGATTATTAATAAAATCTTAACAGATAAATAAGTTTAAAATTAAAAGATTTAATTCCATTACAGATATTTCAAGATGGGCTAGAACAGAAACCCCAGATGAAAAAGAAAAACTGAAGGAAATTGTAGTTAATGAGACAATTCCATTTTACATGTCAAAGTTAGAAAATATTCTGAAAAATAATGGAGGATATTTGGCAAATGGAAAGGTAAAAATGGATATACCATAATTATTTTAAAATAATAATGAATAAGTTTATGGATGAAATCTCAGTATTGCCTAAATATTATATTTTATTATAAACTTATTTCCTTACTGGTACTTCAATTGATGACTATCTTAATAAAATAAGATAGCATTTGAAATTTATCTAAACAAATGTTTACTCCTAAATTTTGATAAAGTAATCAAAAACCTTAATAATTTTCTTATTTTTTTTTCATTTTAATATTTAAAAAAAAAATTAAACCTAAATGGAAATTTCTTTTTTAGCTTTCATGGGCTGAATTTTTTGTTGTTGGCTTCAGTTCTTCTATACCTGGTATATTCGGGCTCAATGTAATGGAGAAGTATCCCTTTTTCAAAGACCTAGTTGAAAGGGTACATTCTCTTCCAGGAATCAAAGAATGGATAGAAAAGAGACCAGATACAGCAATTTAAACAACAACTTCAAATAAATTTGTAAAAAAAATAAATATTAAAATAGGTAAAAGTTTAAATATAGTTGATAAAATATAAATTATTTACCATGTAAAACAATTATTTTGTTATTTGTACCATGATAATTATAATTATAATTTTCTTTTTATTTATGAAGTTCACGTCTATCATCTAGATATATGAACTGACAGTATTACTGTGATAAATACTTTCACTATTTAATACAATTGTATTAGTAAGTACACTTATTAAAATATAAGATTTACATTAGAT